TTTCTCTGGCTAGCGAGGATCTACCCTGCTTGATGGGTTGCGGTGGCTTCCGATCCCAAATTCTTTTCGCAGGAGGCGTTAAACCCTGTACCCCTCCCCATTCTTGGTCTTTCTTAACTTATCCCAACTCCTTCTATCAGCGATTCGGACCAGCTATGTATGAACAACTTCATGGGTACGACACCAATCAAACCAATACAATTCTTGATGAAGTAAGAGCCCGAGATGATATGTCTAAGAATTTATCACCAAAATCTCAACCCCTGCGATTCGGACCACCTGTGTATAAAGAGAACAATGGAACTGTTGAAGTGAGAGCCCTAGATGATATGTCTAAGAATTTCTCACCAAAAGCTCAACCCCTGCTGGTGGAGCTGAAGGGGAAACTCTATGCTCTCTCCGGTTATTTTGGCGGTGAATGTCAATTAAACCCTCCATATTTCCAGGTCTTCGACCCTGAAGACAAAGAATCAGAATGGAAGGACCTTCCTCCACCTGACATTTTCGATCCCGACTCTGATCACTATGTCGGAGATGGTGTATACTTATCGTATGCATCTATGGGCACCAGAATCCTTGTGTCGACCACTCCCCATTCCCCCGGAGTGCTTAGCTTTGACGTCGCCAAAGACGACCCACAATGGGAAACACTCACCGCTCCTGGTCCTTTGCTTTCCGGTGGTCCCTTCGGGTTTCATGGAACTGCTTTGTACGTGGAACATGACAACGAGTCTTTCTTGTTCACCTATCAGTATCACCCACACTCGCCTAGTGAGATTGTAGTCTACCTTGTTTTCAATGATGATTCTTCGGAAACTATTACAACTCTGCAGCTGCCAGTTATGCCTATTGAATTTGATTTTCCCTACTACTATAAGTTTGTGCACTTAAGAGGTCCAAAAGTCTGCTTTATTATGACTTCATTCCCGCGCCCAGGTTTTTATGTTTGTAAAGAAGTTGAGAAGATGAATGTTGTTGTCTTAACGTATGAACTCTCACCGAAGATGGAAGCTGTCAAAAGGGAGGTCAAACAAGTGGCTACTCGCTTCTTTGAATGCGATACTTTGCGGTCTCACAACCCTATCTCACATCATACACATCAGGCTCATGTCATTGGTTGCTTTGTGCTGTAAGTTGTTTTATGCCTACATAACTCTGCATTATATATGATGGGTAATCTATTCTATGATACAGTTATATTGTGTGTTTGTATATTCATACATGTATATATTGCAGTGCTTTAGTCATATAACAATCTGATTGTAATACGAGATATGCACATAAAATAGGTACAGATAGAGGAAAGCTAGTTATATCTGTCTTCTATGTTTTTGTTTTGGGCTTAATATGGAATTATCCAAGTTCCTGCAAAATATTGAACGTGGATGAAGTACTAAGGGTCTCCTGTTTTTCCTATGTTCGTAGTTTCTTTGAGTGTTTGTTAACTGGTTGTGAGGAAATCATGCTTATTTCTAGTGGTCAAGAGTTTGTATAATTCACTCTCCCTCTATGCATTTTAATATTGTTTCCTTGTTGTACCTTGGTGTCAAATCTATGTGGGTAACGTTATAGTAACACATACAAGAATGTGCACTATATGTTAGGGTGGCACAACTTTTGCCACATATCTGTCTTACATGTTTTTGTGAGTTGTAGTGATGAAGACTAGTGATCTTCAACTTAATGTTATTGTTAGTATGGAAGCAAACTTGACTTTGTGAAATTATTTGAATTTTTCTCTTGGTTAAAAATATATTTTAAGTCCCAAAAGATGTTGGAAATGTTGCAAGGAGTCCGGGGTATTTTTTGGTGAATTTTTCAGATTTATTATGATTTTATTATGATTTTTGGAAATTAAAATATTGAAAAATAGTAGTAAATAGAAGAGAATGAAACATGGCAGCGCCTGATGAGTGTGTCATCAGCTTTTCCAACGGCTGTCAGTATCTCATAGTGGCACATGTCATTAATATTTTATTTTTGTGAGTTTATCTTAAAAAAATCCCAAAAAATTATTTAAAAAATCAGAAAAATACACCGAAAATTTCTACAATTCCTTGCGACATTATCTTCAACTATGATACTCGAAAATCAAAATTTAACTATGGGAAATTAGAAGTAATAATTGGATTAAGAGTTGTAGTGATGAAAACTTTATTTCAATTTTTCTCTTAGTCAAAATTATATTTTAAGTCTTACAAGATGTTGGAAATGTCACAAGGAGTTCATATATTTTTTTGGTGAATTTTTCAGATTTATTATGAGATATAAAAAAATTCAAATAATTTCTCAAAGTCAAGTTTGTTTCTATACTAACTACCCACCAAGTTTAACTCTTCCTCCAACTACTAATTCAAATTTTCCGAAGTCAAATTTTGATTTTCGAGATAATATCGCATGGAATTTGTAGAAATTAAAGATGTATTTTTTCGATTTTTCATTAATTGTTTGTGAATTTTTAGAGAGAAACAAACACAAACAATTCATTAAATAGCAGAAAAACACAAGCACCAAAAAATGATACAAACTCAATGTGACACTTTCCACGTCTTTTGAGTTCATCCTAAAACATTCATAAAAGTACTAATGAAGACTTCTTAGTCAAAAAATAATAACAATATTATGAAGCGATGTTGAAGCTCTAGTGAATCCTTTTGAAGTGTTTACGAAAGATATTTTGAGGGCAAACAATTAATGATGCAGCATTGCAATTAAGACTTGTGTCATTTCTCTATTATTTTTAAAATTTATAATTTTTAAAAATTATAAAAATATACATAAAATTGAAGTTGAAGTTGAAGTTGAAGTTGTTTTATGCCTACATAACTCTGCATTATATATGGGTAATCTATTCTATGATGCAGTTATATCATATTGTGTGTTTGTATATTCATACATGTATATATTGCAGTGCTTTAGTCATATAACAATCTGATTGTAATACGAGATATGCATTTTAATATTGCTTCCTTGTTGTACCTTGGTGTCAAATCTATGTGGGTAACGTTATAGTAACACATACAAGAATGTGCACTATATGTTAGGGTGGCACAACTTTTGCCACATATCTGTCTTACATGTTTTTGTTACATATGCAATGCCAGCTAGTATCCTGCCATTTCAAATGCTAGGTGCGGAATTATGATTACTTATAATAATCTTACTATTGTTTTTACTGGACTCTAATCTAATGTTGATTTCTTCTCTTTCGGTTTGTTCATTATGGAGGCTCAAATTTTGTTATTTATGTAATTTTTTGGGACAGGTAAATTGTCAAGAGAAGATTCATGCTATGAGGAGAGGACCCTGCAAGCTAGTTATAAGTGTTGTCTTAGCATATTTAAGATAAGATATTTGTCTTTGGTAATGACAAGAAAACATAACTTATTTAGATATGATTTTTGATTGCAATCAAAACTCAAGCATGTGTTGTTTTTTGTAGAAACCTTTTCAGTTTCATTCTCTATGGCCTGGCCACCACTGCAATATCAAATTATTACTCTTATAAAACTTAAGCAACCAACACAGACAATTTCTGGATGATGATTGTTTGAAAAAGCAGAAGTCAAAGTTGACGTACGCCTTAAAATCAGATTCATCAGTTGCAACTACCTGCTCATCAGCAGAAGAACCACCTGTGCTTAGATATAACAAACATCACCATTTGAATAATCAAAATTTTTGCAATCAATCTGTCCCAGACTCTCGTCCTGGAGGTTTTCTGTCTCCAACAAGTATATTTTGCACTCACCACTGAGCAGGGATATTGATGTCTTCTTTCCCATCTGGACTCCTGATTAGGCTTCTGCTACGAGTTTATTTTCTCTTTCCTTCTCACTCGGTGCCCTTAGCTTCCTCGCCTTCCTTGATTTATTAGAAACCTTACTCATGAAAGAAAATGGGCGGTTTAGTACAGATAGAATAAAATCTTCCCCATCCAAAATTGCGAATGCATCATACCACATGCTTGAAGGTTTTCCATTAGCTGTAAAACTTAATATAGCATCAATTCCAGATCTGCAAGATCACTGATAAGGAACATTTGCGAATATATAATGGACAACTAAATAGAGACATTCAAGAAAGAGAAAGAAATGGTATAATTAGTAGTTTTAGAATACTTTCTTCTCACTCAAAGAAACGGATCTTAAATATACTTTTCCTGGTATGTATCTTACCAACAGTATCTTAACGTTAAGGACAAGTAAATATCTAAAAAGAACCTCGTGGGTTGGGTTTTTTTGTATCAAATGAATTGAGCAAATTTATATCAGGAACTGATCAGTCTGGTCGTGTGTTTCCTTCAAGCTATCAAATTAATGCATAACGTAAGCCACTTTGAAATGACTAGTTGGAATGGAACATTGACTCATTCATTGATGCTGCAATACATCACCTGTAATTTAAAGAATGTGATATATATCACCATCATCTTTACGGCCGGGAGATTCAGTTATGCCTTCTGCACCCATGCTTGGCTGTTAAAGCATACAAGATACAAGTGAAACAATTAAAATTCTCCAAACAAGATGTATGTGACTAGAGTTTTATGATGAAATGGCCCAAACGACAACCACAATGCAAAATGGACCCATTCTATCACAAGTAAGAAAACTAAACCCTTTTAGGTCCCTCCTCCTTCCCCACCTTGGTCACCTGTTCAAATCCCAGGATAAGTGCCCCCCCTCCCCAATGTAATGTATCTATCGCTAATTCTAAAAAAAGTTAAAAATAAAAATAAAAATCTAAACCCTTTTAGTTTGGATATTATTCCTTTTTTTTATTTTTAAATATATATAGAAAATGTGTGGGCTAAATATGGAATTATCTTCCAAGTTCTTACCAACTAAAATGAAGCAATATCCAGGGTTTAGGGTTTTAGGGTCGAATAACATAGCAAAAAGGCTATGACCAAAAAAAAAATAAAAAAAATAGCAAAAAGGCTGCGAGAAGCGTGGAACTTGAGAAATCGAAAGCCTAACCTAGGGCTTTTGGGTGGGTATCCAATCCATTAGCTAGCATAGCAGCAAGTGGTGTATGAAGGTAACCGGCAGCGGCGGCGGCGGCGGCATGGAAGATCTGACGGGACCATTAAGGTCGAATGATGAGAGGTCCTTATATATATGTTCCACGGATTTGAACAATGTTAGTGTTTCTTACGCTATCCATTCCATCAAATTGAGCGATTTGTTCTCGTCATCATGCTCCTGCCGCTTTGATCCCGATCTTCCGACTAATCCTAATCCCACTGCTATTGGTGATCCCGATATTCCTACTAATCGTGGCCCTACTGCTATTGGTGGTGATGGTGATAGAAGCAAATGCCCGTGGTGCTCCAAATGCCCATCATGCTCCAAATCCCTCAAAGCCCCTGATGAAGAGGATTGTAGTGAATTAAACCATCCGTATGAGGAGGATTGCTGTGCATTAAACCATCCGGATGATACGACAACCAGAACCGAATGCGCGGCTTGCTCCAAGGGCAATAGTGAATTATGCTATCGGGCTTCTCTCACCGGCGAGTTTCTTCCCGTCGATATGGGTTGCGGTGTCTTTGGATCTCAAATTGTTTTCGCCGGAGGCTTGAAATTCAACATCACAACAGTGCCCGATCCCCTTAAGTGGCGATTCGGACCAGACTCGAGTAGTGCTGTATATGGATTTGAGACTCGGGATCCGAATCCCACAATCAAAATGAGTGGCAGAGAGCGTATGTTTGGGGAAATGTTTGGAAAAGGGATCTGTGATCCCCTGCTGGTGGAGGTTTCGGGGAAACTCTATGCTCTCGCCCGTGAGACGGAATTCTTTAGGGTTAGTACGCCTACTTACTTCCAGGTATTCGACCCCAACTTTAAGAAATGGTCTCCGCTTCCTGCACCTCCAATTCTTGAAAAGGGAGACATCACGGACTCCTCCTTTGCAATCATGGGTAATTTTATCCTTATGTCAACTCCCAACATCCCTGTGGTTTATGGTTTTGACACCGAGAATGACGCAGGATGGATAGAAATTGGTACCCCTAGGTTTTTCTATGGTCGTAGTCTCCCCTTTAAAGGAAAAGCTTTGGTCGTGCCGGATAACAATGGCTATTTCTTGTTCACATTTACATTTAGAAGGGCGATTATTGTCCACTTCATTGGGGCTGATCATGGTGAAGTTATCAAAGAACTGCCTCTGCCGCAAGATATACCTGTTGAATTTCGTGAACCATATGAACCACTTGATCACAGTTTTATCCAACTAGCGGGTCAAAAAGTCTGCTTGGTTATGACCTTATCTACGACTGAGAAGTTGCGGGTTATGGTCTTAACCTTTGAATTCTCACCGCCGGACATCAAACATGTGCATACTCGCTATTTTAATTGCGATATCACATCGTCTACCATGATTGGTGCTTTTGTTCTGTAAGTTGTTTTATGCCTACATAACTCTGCATTATATATGGGTAATCTATTCTATGATACGGTTATATTGTGTGTTTTTATATTCATACTTAGTCATATAACAATCTGATTGTAATACGAGATATGCACATAAATAGGTACAGATAGAGGAAAGCTAGTTATATCTGTCTCCTATGTTTTTGTTTTGGGCTCAATATGGAATTATCCAAGTTCCTGCAAAATATTGAACGTGGATGAAGTACTAAGGGTCTCCTGTTTTTCCTATGTTTGTAGTTTCTTTGAGTGTTTGTTAACTGGTTGTGAGGAAATCATGCTTATTTCTAGTGGTCAACAGTTCGTATAATTCACTCTCCCTCTATGCATTTTAATATTGTTTCCTTGTTGTACCTTGGTGTCAAATCTCTGTGGGTTACAGTAACACATACAAGAATGTGCATTATGTTATCTGTCTTATATGTTTTTTGGTACATATGCAATGCCAGCTAGTATCCTGCCATTTCAAATGCTAGGTGTGGAATTATGATTACTTATAATAATCTTACTAATATGTTTTTACTGGACTCTAATCTAATGTTGATTTCTTCTCTTTCGGTTTGTTCACTATGGAGGGTTTGCTCAAATTTTGTTATTTATGTTATTTTTTGGGACAGGTAAACTGTCAAGAGAAGATTCATGCTATGAAGAGAGGACCTTGCAAGCTAGTTAGTGTTTACTGTGCTTTGGTAATGGCAAGAAAACATGGTTTGTTTTTTGTAGAAACTTTTTCAGTTTCATTCTCTATGGCCTGGCCACCGCTTCAATATCAAATTAGTACTCTTATAAAACTTAAGCAACCAACACAATACAATTTCTGGATGATGATTGTTTGAAAAAAAAAACAGAAATCAAAGTTGACGTACGTCTTAAAATCAGCTTCATCAGTTGAAGCTACCTGCTTATCAGCAGAAGAACCACCTGTGCTTAGCTATAACAAACATCACCATTTGAATAATCAAAATTTTTGCAATCAATCTGTCCCTCCAGCAAGTATATTTTGCACTCACCACTGAGCAGGGATATTGATGTCTTCTTTCCCATTTGGACTCCTGGTTAGGCTTCTGTTCGCTTTCTGAATGGTAGCATGTTCTCCTACGAGTTTATTTTCTGTTTGTTTCTCACTCGGTGCACCTAGCTTCCTCATCCAAAATTATGAATAAAATCTTCCCCATCCAAAATTATGAATGTGTTTAGGGGTGGTAGAAATCCACCCGGGCAAGAGAATTGGTCAGGCTAGAGCTGAAGGAACAGCTGGGCAGCTGTTGGAACAGGAGCTTGCAAGGTGCAGCTGGGCTAGGAGTTCAAAATCTGGCCTGGGCTTTGAAGCTTGGATATTTTCTTAGGAAGCTCCTTAAGGCCACCATTAATGGATGCTGGTACTCCTCTGTCAATTGAACAATGGATTTATGGATAATTGAAGTCAACTTCAGGTATCGAGTTAGTCAACTCAGACCGTGCCCGTGCCATGAAGAGTAGGGAACTTCAGCATTAGCATGTGTGTGGAGATGAAGATCCTCATTTGTGCTAAGACTGGGCGCCTAAGGATGACGTTGTAGGTCGTGGGGCAATCAACGATTAGAAAAGGAGTGGTAACCGTGGCCAGCTGGGGAAGATTTAAGTATAAACAAAAATAGTAAAACTGCTGTTAGTACTAAAATTAGTTTAGGATCTAAGTATATTTCAATATTTAAATCAAAATATAAAATTAACTAAGTATACTATATTTAACTACTAAAAATACCTCGTGTTAGTTTACCACTCAATAAAAAACATTTAATTATTTGCCACCTAAATTTCAGTTTTGGTGCTAATCTACCACCTCCGTCAATTTCTGTTAGATTTTCTAACAAAGGTGGGTTTGTTTTTAATCTTAATTTTTTTAAATTCATCTAAAAA